CTCCTCCTCAGACCAATGAAGAACTTGGCAAGAGGCTGCATTGCCTGCTTTCTGATAATGTAAGTAAAGTCAAAGGGATCCCGTTCAAATCTTCAGAAAATCCAGATATCCCTGACCACATGGACTGGAGAATCAAAGGTGGTGTCACCAAAGTCAAGGATCAGGTGGGTTGTGGTGGGTGGTTCTGGGTATTACGTAGAGGTGTTTTGAAGGAAAAGAAGAGTGTTCTGATCTGTCCATTTGGTCCCATTAGAATTTGACAGATTCACAAAGACTTGCAGATAAAGCTAAATTCTTTTCTCTTAACTTCATCCCCAAAACTTTAATCCTGTTAGAACTCATTTTTGTCCACCTGCTTACTACCAAGTACTGAGAATTGTTAAAGGAATATAAATTGAGAACAATTAATCAGCGGAGGGGCTTCCTCCAGATGTTGGGTGTGTTCTATCACTCAAAGTTTTTAAGAAGAGATTGGAAATTCGTTTGTCAGCAATGGCATAGTATCTCCCGCCCAAGCAGAGGGCTGCGGATGCACTAGAAGAGCTTTGATTTCCCTTCCAACTCTGCTATTCCATACAGAGTTGTCACATGCTCAGTGGATCACTCCAGCTTTTCTTTTTTCTTTTTTAACCCAGGGTGGATGTGGCTCATGCTGGTCCTTCAGTGCCACTGGTGCTCTGGAAGGGATGCATTTCAAGAAGACGGGGAAGCTGGTCTCACTGAGCGAACAAAATCTTATTGACTGTTCCGGTGATCCAGAGTTTAAAGGGTGCCAGGGTAGTCTTATGGAGAATGCTTTTGAAACTGTGCGGAAGCGAGGTGGGATCAATTCAGAGAAAAGCTACCCTTATGACAGAACGGTAATAAATGAATGAATCTGTGTATCTCCCAGCCCATTCCTTCTGCATGCATCAAGATGAACTGTTTTGCTCTATGTCTCTAGTTGATAATGCCTCCAGCAATAGGATGGAAATCATTTGAGTCATGGATGGAAACAATTTCTATTAAATCCCTTCAATGGCAACAATCTCTTAGAATCACCATTTTCTTCTGCAGGATGGTATGCCTTGTCGCTATAAGCCTGAGGAATCTATTACCAGATGTAGCTCATATGGAGAGATCACGTCGGAGGATGAAAAAAGTCTTCAGGAGGCTGTGGCCAGGATTGGTCCAGTTTCTGTTGGAATAGATGCTGGGAGTAGCAAGTTCGGCTTCTATAAGTCAGGTAAGGTTCCTGAGGGGCTCACATTTGACCTTGTGGTTCTTGCCATCTCCTCTGCCAACTAATATTTAACACTGATGAGGCCATACTCTTTCTAAGTATTAAAGGGTTATCTTGTTGTTTTCAAGATGGTGAAAAGAGAGCTTTTATTTTATTTTAGGTCAGCTTATGGAGATTTTTCTGTTAGTTTTGCTGGTTTGGTTTAAAGACTTGGCTGTGCTAGGATAGCATGGTGGTACAGTGATTGGAATGGAATATTGCAGGATAATTCTTCCCACTCTCAGCAGTTCAAACCCCAACAGCGCAAGGTTGACTGCTTTCCATTCTTCCGAAGTCAGTAAAATGAGGACCAGATTGTTGGGGGCAAAATGAACTCTGTCAATCGCTTAGAGAGGGCTGTAAAGCACCCTGAAGAGGTATATAAGTCTAAGTGCTATTGCTCAGGTGGTTATTTGGGCAATTTTCATTTGGTCCAAGAGGCTTCCCGGGTTGCATCATTTTTGGGATTGTGGGGCCAGCTATATGACTCTTAGAGCCCAACTTTTGAACACAGCTCCTTCCTTGGAGGTGGTCACTATTTTCCATCTTCCTGGCCAACTAACAGCCTGGTGCCAATCAATATTCTCCACCATTAACTGCTTTATTTATTAGTTATCTGTCTTGGAATTGTGTGTATCTCTGGAGAAGAAAAATGGTTGTGTGACAGAATGCCTATCATCTTGCTTCTCCTGGACNTTAGAGGTCAATGTTCAAGTTAGAGGTCAATGTTCAAGTCTGTCAAGATTCTTCTGTATCTTGAGCCTGTCTTCTGGAGTGTTGGCTATTCCTGCCAGCTTAGGGTCATTTGCAAATTTTATGAGTTCCCCATCTATCCCCTTGTCCAAGTCATTGATGAAGATGTTGAAGAGTACTGGGCCTAAAACAGAGCCCTGGGGTACTCCACTGCATACTGCCCTCCATGTAGAAGCAGTTCCATTGAGAACTGTGCGTTGAGTGTGGTTGGTCAACCAGTTAGGAATCCATCTGGTGGTGATACTCTCTAACCCACATTTTTTACTTTGTCTAGTAGTAGGTTATGATCTACTTTATCAAATGCCTTATGGAAGTGTTAGTTAGGGTTATATTGTTGGTATAAATGTGGCAAATTTCCACATGGAATGTCAGAATTCCTGGTGTGACTAGTACTGTAAAAAAAACCCACAGAAAATGTGCATAAGAAATATGTATTTTGAGATAACAGTTGAGATGACACTTTTTATTCGGTGCAGTGCAAAGAAATGTGCTCTCAGGACTACATCACACAACATCGTCCATTGAGAGCCCTCAGTACTCAAATTGGCATGTGTATTACACAGATTTGGATAGTTAAGTGTGCAAATCCTTCAAAATATGAAAAACGAAAATGGGAGATGATGATGATTATTATACTCATTCAATGAATCAATCATGTCCAACTCTTGGCAATTCTATGCGTCAGGTTATTCCACATCTTCAATTCTTGCACTATTAATTTGAATTGTTCTATGCTTTGTTGGTATTAGGTTTGATGGTGTCCAGCCCTCCTATTCTTCGGTGGCCTGGTTTCTTTTTCCGCCAATTCTTTCAAGCATATCATATAGCCTTTCAAAAATTTTAAGGTCTGGGTGTAAGGCCAAAGAATGAGAGACCCCAAGACAAAAACACCTTAAAAAATGGGTGCGCCAAGTGAACATCTTTCAATAAATGGGGGTCTCTCTGGCTAAAACCAGCTATACAGGCAGTCTTCAACATATCACCATTCGCTTAATGACTCTTCAGAGTTATAACACCACAGAAAAAAGTGACCTACAACCAGTTTTGATACGTGTGACCGTGGCAACATTCTCACACTCAAGTGATCAAATTTCGAGAACTTGGCAACAAGCTTGTGTGAAGATGGTTGCAGCACCTCCGGGTTTTGTGATCGCCATTTGCAACCTTCCCAGCTGCCTTCTGACAAGCGAAGTCAATGTTCAGCAAAATCACTGAGCAACCGTGCTACTAATTTATCAGCTGTAGTGATTCAATTAACAAATGTGTCAATAGATTTCTCACTTAGCAACATAATCTTGGGGCTCAATTTTGATTGTAAGTTGAGGACTACATATATTAGGCCTGTCTGAATTGCATGTTGAACCCATGTCTGGAAAATAAATACCAAATCATAATCATTTTAGCGTGAGCATTTAATAAACTGTTCTCAAGGTTAAAGAATCCATTCTTCAACCTTGAGTGACATTTGTCCAAATAAAGATGCACCCTCAATTGACATATTACCCCACAGTTAGTAATAACTGCCATTGTTTTTGTATCTCCTGCTTGGGTGGAGCAGGGTGGAGTTCATGCTTTTACCAAGAATCAAGATAGACAGAAGAGCTAGATAGAAATCAAACATGAAATTTATCTTCATAGGACATTAAAACGGCTGCAACCACACAAAGTCAATAAAATTTCCATGGTTAGGAGATACGATTTAGGTCACCAATCTAATCAGTGGCTTTCTTGCAGCTATTTTGCTTTATAGGATTCCCTTCCCTCCAAATAAAATCTCCAAGAAAGAAAGTTAAAAGAACATTATCTTACTGAAATGAAAAAAAAATACTTTCTAAAGAATTCTAAAGATAT